AGCAAAGCATCATAGCTCAAGAACAATTGAATAAGATGGGAGGGAAGCAGCACCTGAACAGATTCTTTTTCTCTTCAAGGCTGCTAGGTAAGATGTTGTTCCTTTGCCTGGCCTTTTCTTTCTAGCCCTGATACAACAGGCAATGTTTCACTCCTGAAAGTTTGTGTCTGAATATTACATTTAATTTTCTTTCCTGAATTTCTAAAAATTAGTAAGAAAATAAAAACAGTCTTCAGTAAAGAAACTGACTCAAACCAGTTGCCCTCTATAATTCAGGAAAGAAAAGCATTTGGCATTTCAGGATGGAGTGTGCAATATTAATCATAACAAAATATGAGAAAATGCAGACTTTTGCATTCTCTCTAGGTGATTTCAAACTTTTATTTGTCTCCTATTTCATATGCAAAAGCAATAATAAAATTTAAAAGCATCAGTTTATATAACACAGCATAGTCTGTCCCTCAATATTTTCACTATTTTTTTCCCCACAAAGCAATTTGAACCTTATATTTATATGTTTTTAAAACTTTATATACACAAATCATCCAAAGTTTTATTAAATTTACAATCATGTCTCCAAGTAGTAATGTCTCTTTCTGTCACCAGAAAATGGTTTCAAAATGGCAATAATTTTAAGGCTTATGTCTATACTATTTAATTCACTAAATGTAAGGGCTTGGGGGTTTTTGCACCCCTTATTTATGAGATAGCAAGTCTGAAAAAAAATTAAAATCCATCTGAACCCAAGAGGATATTGGTTGTTTCCCAGAAGAACATCAGGAGAACGGATACAGTGAATTTTTATTGCTCTAAACTTGATTAAATCATAACGTACAGAAATCCTCCCCACCTCACCAAAACATTTCATTAATGATAAAATAAGAGCTGTGACTAGTAAGCTTGACAGGTAAGCTGTATTTTTTATCTCACCTTTAAAAGTTTAAATACTCTCTGATTTAACAAAATATAGCAAATATTAAACATTAAATTGGATGAGGACTGGTCTTTCCTGAAAGGGGTTTTCCTGTAACCTGAATTCGTGCAGAGCTAATGGCCTGAATTTTAGAAAATCTAACATGTCTCTGTTTTTGTTGCTTTTAGCATTACTGTCCCTGGTGAAAGAATATTTAGGAACCCTGTCTGAATTAAGATCCTATTTAATACACAGCAAAAATACATCTCTATGTGGAAAAAGTTTCTAATATTATAAAACATCTTATTATGAAATTCAATAGGTAAATTCTTAAGCAGACTTGCTTTGTAAATGAAGGGATGGAAATGAAAGTGAGTTCTAAAACACACTCCCTTAGGAAGATACAACCAAATTAGCACACCTCAAACTGAAAAGCTTATTTACTACTTTTATAAGTAGCTAATCCTATTTGGAAATATTAATGTTGGGTAGGGGAACTGCACAAGACTACAGTACACCATGAAGAATGCTGTGAAGTTTTCATAGGCACAGATCCCTACCTGCAAATACAGCCACTATTTTTCTAGCATTTCATGACTGAAAGTGAGCAGTTTATGATTAATTTTTTTTTTTTTTTGTACCTGCTGACTGTATTCCTTATAACCCATTGAATTCCTGAACTCATGCACAGCATCATCAGCTGTGCAGCCACTGAGGCCACACTGTGCCTGCAGGGACACCTGTGGAACCCCCTGCAGGTGTGTCACCACAGCTGGAGCTGGGGATGAACAGAGTCCAGCACAGCTCATTCCCTACACACTGCTCAAAGCTCAGCTGCCTCTTTAACGTGACAGTCAGAGGGTCTGCCTATAAATGCACACCACTCCTAGGACTGGGTGATAAGAAGGGGGCTTTTTTATATAAGCATTCTTTAAGATGTCTAAAACTTTACTGGCCATGTAGAAAAATAGATTCCCTAAAATTTTGGTTTCAGGTCTAGCAGAAAGTCTATTTACACTGAAAAATGCTATTACAAACATTTGGAAAAATCCTGAAAATAGTAAGATAGAGGCAAAATGATCTTTAGTCTCTCTGATGTGGGACACAAAGTCCTGCAAGCTTCCAGACAGTAACAGGACCTTAGACTCATTGAAGGCCAGTTGTTTTCCTTTCCTAACATTAGCCTTGTTATCCAAGACAAAGAGAATGATCTAATGGCCTATGAAGCAAGTTAGTTTTTGGTAGAGAAGGTTCAGACAGCTATTTCACACCCAAGCATGTTCTTCAGGGCAGTAATGATTTTATGAACAAAAAAAAGTCAGTGCTGAAAGTACTCCAGTAATTTTAAGCAGATCAGGCTATAGACAACTGCTAAGAGGAAAATCTGGCAACATAAGATAGACAAGATAAGATAAAGAGATCTGGCTGTAATCTATGTAAATTAAACTCCCATTTACTCCATGTGCTTCAATCAATGAGTGATGTGGGTGCCACTGATGGCTGAGCTTGGCCTAAAATCTTAGAATATTTAATTACAACTCAGTGATCTAGATGGTCTTAACTCAGTCAAACAAAGACTTCCAAGGTATTACATTGCTGTTTGTGTAATTACATGATTGGGTGATAGTTTCCAGTTGCACCAACCTAACTACAGTAGCTATGAGGCAACTTTTCTCTCTCCTTCTTAAAAGGTCAGCAAATGAGAGAGTATTACAGTGACACAGCTCAGACCTGCAGGCTCAGCTCCAGTTTTCCCATCCCTGGATGGGCACACACTGACTGTGCCTGTAGCAGCATTTAGTCATTGTACATGAGCAGGTCCCCTGAGTGCAGCCTTGTTCCAGCTGGCTCACATGTTTTCTCTGTAGAAGAGAGACTGGTTAGCACAGAAATGGAGCATCTGTGGTTGTGTATTTCCCTAAGATGTGCAGAGCAGGAGCTACAATGCAAGAGGACTGCACAGCTGTTCTGTGTGGCTCTCCTCAGTTCTGCTAATAAAGGAAGGGAAGCCACAGCCTCCCTCTGTTATTTCCTTCCCTTTTCTTGTGAATTTATAGTTGATATACATAGATGTTGCTATCTCCTATCCTTCTATAACCATCTCCTCTACCCCTGTTCTCTTCTTCATCATCCTTACAGAAAGAGGTAACGTTTTCAAAAGAATGGCCTTTGAATCTGCAAAACTTTGCCTGTGCCATTTCAGAACACAAGTGCACACTCTACTTGTAGATTGAGCTGGTTGCCTGCATTCAACTTGCACCCCAGTATATGCAGGGCCCAGAGCAGCCTACTGAGCTTGCTCTTCATCTGAGTCATATCTTCCCCAAAATCTTGCTTGGTGCAGTTTCTGGAATACTCCCTTTAAGAAATCTGGAAAGTGATGACTAGAGGATGTTAATTCCACCTCCTGCAGATTCTTATGAATTCCAGTATACCCATTCTTTCCATATTAAACATATAAACACATTAGGAATTGTCTCATATGAAGTTTAAAAAGAGATGCCGTTTCAGCTGTGACCAGCCCCACTGTGTTTTATTGTTTTATTTCAGTTTGCTGTCTGTCTGTGCATTTGTGCTGATCACGTGCAGTGCAGGTGAGAGCAGGGCTAACGCAGGCGTGCCTCATCTCTCACACAGCAGCTGACTGGAGCCTGCACTGTGTCCTGGAGCTTTTAATTACAGTCCAATAAACTGTGGCTATCTAACACCACCCCACCCTTACATAACCCAAGCTGCAACACTCTGGCACCAGTGAGTGTTTTGTTTGCTTACATGATTATGACCTCAGGCAAGAGCTGCACCTGGGCATATGACACAGTCTCGGGGCACTTAGAAATGTCATCTGCATTCAAAAGCTGGTTAAGGGAGTAATTTTATTGAGAGCTTTTCTGTCACATTTTGGCATTAGCTAAAACCCTTGGGGAAATAATGGAAACAAAAGGATGATTTTCCTGTTTAAATTGCATCTATTCGAGCAGGACTTGGCTTGTTAAACCTTGATCACCAAATCATTTTGGTACAGTCTATTTCTAAGGCAAGACAGATTTTCCCATTACTTTGCAGTTTCTGAATTCAGTTGCCTTGCAACTGAAAATAAGCAATAAGGTTGCTCAACATATATCTACTCACGTCCCAGAAACTGTATGAGTCACATCAGTTAGCGCTGCAGAGAAGCAAAAATTTTCAGACTATAGAAATTATTTGAGAGCTTCCATAGAGTATTGGCTCCTTGTGCAGCAGAGCACATAGGCATATATTTAAAAAGCAGATTTTCAAAGACATAGAAATGGATCAGCTAGTCTATCTCAAACTACAAGGTTTTTGTCCCTTTGAATATCTTTCCTGTCATCTTTATTAGACTCTAAATATATGCTTGAAGGTAAGCAGAGGCTTTTGAACTGAATAAACATCATCTTAAGCAAATATTTAAACCTGTTACTGAACTTTATTCTGAGGAGAACCAACAAAAAACCCAAACTAGTTTAAATCCATTTAGAATTTTTCAATGTGAATTATTTAGACATCTCTACTTCAGTTAATTGTTCAAGCTGCGGAGTCAGTGAAATATTTTGTCAGAGCAATATATGATATAAAGTCAGCATAACAATAACACACAATGTAAATACCAGAAAGTTGTCTCAATCCCTATTTTCAGCACTAAACATTAAAACATTTTTGAACTATCTTTCATAACTTTTACAGTAAATTTTTCATCACTTATCACATCAGTCTGGAACTGAGAACTTACCTCAGAGAATTAATTTTACTTTCAGATGCAGAGTTTTGTTGAAGGGGCAGTGCAATCTTGTTGGGCTTCAAGTTCTGATGAGTATCCCCTCATTGTGTCTGAGAACAGTTTTCTGTGTGGGGAGAGGTCCTCATTAGCAGACATTCTTCCCTGTGACAGAGATGAGAAAAATAAAAAGCAAACGTGCGTTGCAGGAAAGGCAGCAATGGCACACATGACAAATTCTAGCACTGTTTCAGCATTCAAAGGCATTTGCAGCTATACCAGGAGAGCAGAAGTCACAAGCAGTAACATTTGACAGACACAGCTGTGATTTGACACCTGTCTTTCCAAACACAGGCTCTGGGCTGTGGGTGTGTGGGCCAGGCCGTGCTGAGCCGCGGAGTGCATGGAGGGCCCATGACGGTGTCGGTGGGCTTTGCCATGGCAGTCACCATAGCTGTGTATGTTACCGGGGGCGTTTCTGGTAAGTCACTTTTCTTCTATAGCATTTATTGCTACAGTGCTAAGGCTCCCTTGTTAAAGGGCTTCCACTTCATGGTATAAACAATCATGAGTTAGCAACAGTAAGCACCATTACAGCAGAGTCTGCACCTTTACCAGAGTTTTGCTAGAAAATCTTGTGTGTTCTTATTTCCTTCTATTCTTTGTGTTTGAAAAATTATCCCACCAAATTCTGATCTCAACTACACTGTGAAAACCTTGGCAGACCTCTGGCTTTTATGGAAAGTGTTCTATGCAAACCAGAAATCTGTTTGGTGTTGCTTTGAAAATCCTGTCAATAGAGATGATCCTGGGCAGAACAGACACTGTGTTTAAAGAAATAACCACAAAGAGCAATCCAGCAGTCACCAGACAAAATGGTGGCCAGTTACACAGAAAGCAGAAGGACCCACTAATGGGTATAATGAACAGGATTCACCTTACAGAGTGCAATTTATTTCTTCATGTCCTATGACAGGCAATAGCAAGTCTGCTCCTGATAATCACAGAAGTACCAGATCATAGAAAGCAGAAACAGCAGAAAGATTCAGAACCAGAGGTACATTCAATGACACTGTCAGTGTCCTATCCCCCTTATTTCTGCTTTAGCACTTGCTCAAGCTGATTGGTCAGGAATCGCTCTTTAGCTGGGGCAACTAACCAGTGTCCACAGGTGCCATATTGGAGGCTGCCTTGTCTCCTAGTTCCACCATTCAATTTGGCCAAACTAAGATTGGAAACATTAGCATAAATGCTTTTAACAATTGAAGTCTTCCTTTAAAATAGAAAATGATGGGTTGTAAGAACAATGCTAAGCACAAAAATACACAATACTTTATGTTGTATGCAGAGTTTATATTGGCCTTTAAAGCACATGCTGCCCTTGTACTCCAGGTCTCATAAAGGCATTTCTTACCCTTCATAAGAGGGTCAAGTTGGTCTGGACAAATTTCTCTAGGTGTAATTAGGACATTAGAAATAGTTGCTGTAACAGAAATTACAATAGCCATTTCTCTTCTCTTTACAAATTCTTTTACAGAGGCACCATGCAGAAGGTTTCCATTAGAAAGTCTCACATTAGAAAGTGCTCCAGGTTCTACAAAACAGGCAGTCTTTTCACTGTCATTGACACAAACCAGAACTGTTCCTTAATATCACACGAAATTAATTCAGCAGCACATTCCTATTATCTGAACAACTTTTAACTACAGCTCTTGGTTTGCATGGAGGCAGCTAAACTCATCTAATGCAGATTCATGAAAACAAACCTGTGAAGACCTGTCCTAAATTTGCACCTTTAAGGGATATTCATCTCCATCATTATGTAGAAAATTAGAGTTCAATCCCAGCAGGGCAGAGCAGTTGCAGATGTTGCAGTATTGTGCTTCCTGGGCTATTCCCACGACAAAGGATTCTGCATGCAGTGCACTTTCTCTGTGAAAAAATAGGAACAGATATTTCAACAGGCTGTTATTATCCAACACACGATTACTAGTGGACATTTCAGAATGCAAGTTCCTAGATAGATTTTTTTTTGCAATTTCTGTGGCTCTTGAGTCAAATTCTCATGTTTAGGTACTGCTAAAATATTTTTCATCAGTTCTTTATGTAATTCTAAATTAACGCTAACAATATATATTGTCTACATGTTTAGTGAATTTCAGCTTTTTATTTAGGAAAATTCCCCTTTTTAATTTTCCTCAATATCTAGATAATTTCCCCTATTTTATCCAACTTAGCATTTCAGAGTGATGACTGTGATCACTGCAACCACAAAAGAAGGAGGAACACAGTGTCCAAAGTGAACTTTTTATTTTAAACCAGTGGCACAGAAACCAAGCATCTTGTAACTCCCCTATGTCAGCATGAGAGCCTTCAATTAGACTTTACCTTTCCACATTAAATGTTAATTAGGCCTCTGTAATATTATTATAACTTGTCCTGGCCATCATAGTCACCCTGTATTATATACAGGTGGGGAAATAAAATCAGGTGTTGAAAGAAAGGAAAATTATTAATTCCAGCCAGAGTAAGGAACAAAGACAACAATTAATCAAAATTCCCATGAAGGGCTGTTAAATTAGGTGCCATCTATCTATTTGCTCTGTGCTGAAGAATTTGAAACACAGTGAGCAATTCAGCTTTTAATTCAAGACTGGCATTACTAGGTCAGCATTTGGAAATGCTACAAAGAAGGTTTTATCCAGCTTTTTATCTGTGTTTGTCAGTTCATTATGTATCAAAGGTGCCTGGATTTCATAAGAGATAATGACTCACTGACCTGAAGTGCAAACAAACACAAACTGTACACAGAAGCCCTTTCTCCATCACTAATCTTTGAGAGATAAAGGACATGCTCTTTCAGTTATTTTACCAAAGACAAAGGCCAATTTTTTTTTTTCTGATATTCTTACAGACCAAAATGAGACCTTATCTGAAAGATAAGCAAAGGCTCCTATGTCTTTACAAAATGTGGGGCTTTATTACAAAGAAGTACCTATTCATTTATTTGGCAATTTGTGTTTCTTAAGTAGCAACCATATATCTGTAAGCAATGAAATTTTCCAAGAGCATACAACACCTTTTTTGTTGACTAAAGATGTTGTGGGAAGAGACCCTATGACATAATAAATATATTTTAGAAACTAAAATTGTCATGAAGAATTCCAATGTTACTGAAATCTTTTTTCATGCATAAGTTCAGATGTAGCTACTCCTGAATTAAAAAATGAAAGAAGTTTCACAGGAAACTGAAATTTGTTTCAGCACAGCTACTTTATCAATTTCCTTATCATGGACCTTTCTGGAAAGCACAAGAACCAGATAGAAACACAGTGAAGGACTATGCACTGCTGTCCTCAGGTGCCATCCAGGCACAGCTCACCAACAGCCAACATGAAACTGGACAGCCCTAACATTATTTGATTTTGTCTTATGAAAACTGAGTTCCTAAGTAACCCCAGGTTGTAGACAGGGACACAAACATTACTTAAGTCCAGGGCACTCCAGAACTGTCTCAAGATACAAGCTCAAGCCAGTAACAGTCCTTATCCTAATATGTGCTTGGGATACTAAAGGAATGTTTTTCTGCCCCAGTTCTCCCCTGAAAATAAAGTCAAAGGCCTCAAGGAGAGGGAATATGTGCAGAATAAGGGACCCTCCCATCCCAGCCAATGGGGCAGGTTACTATTTTTCTGGAAAAGTTCTCTATAAGTTACATACTGCAGGACAGCAGTCTGATAAGGAGCATAGTCCGCGAGCATCAAGAGTAAGGATGGATCTTAGTGGCTTTTGCTCTCCCTCCTCTGATTTCATCCAACTTGTTTCAGTTTAATTGCAGTCACCATTTAACTGCAAAATAAAATCGAGAAAACCATGTACTGTTCTGGTGTTCAAAAGTGCCCACATTTTTACAAATCCTTCACCTATTCTCATGTATCTGAGTCATCCACGTGACTTAATTTTTGATTTATTTTTCAGGTGGTCACATAAACCCAGCTGTTTCATTAGCCATGTGCGTGACTGGAAGATTAAAATGGACCAAATTACCAATTTACATATTAGCACAATTCCTGGGAGCATTCGTTGGAGCAGCGGCTGTCTTTGGGATTTATTACAGTGAGTACACCTTAGACATGTTCACAGGACAAACTAGAGGTCAGGCAGTCTCTAAGGCCCCAATTTTTCAATGAATGTCAGGCAGGCAGAGGACTCTTGTTCACACAGGGCTAATGGCAGGAATGAAGCTAAAGCTACAAAAAGAAGAAAGGAAAGAGCATAAAGAATTTGAAGGGAAAAACAACGGCTTGAACATTCCAGGTACCCTACAAATTTACTGAAACACTTAATACTCCAGGAAATGTTCTGATATTTAGAAAAATTATTCATGGGAAATCAGATACTCTGAGATCATGTATTTCTCAGTAAGGATTTTAAATTACTTAATAGGCAGGATATAGGGCTATCCATCTTCCAGGCAAATTAGAAACATTAAAGACCTGCTACAAGTGCCTGTAGGCAAGAATCACCAACATTGTTCATTGAGGGTACAGGATATGAGATCAAGTCCCTCCTGACCAAAGCTCAGACCACCCTTGAGAGGTAACTCTCCAAGGCAATGAACTCCAGGTACAGTGATAAACAGATCACATATTTGACAGGGAAAAAGGAAAACTTCCCCCTATCCTTGAGGCACAGGGGGTTTTTACACAGTGTGCCAGCAAAGGAAAAAACAGTAACTGACTGACTGAATCCACTCAGTTGGATCACTTGTGCTTTAAACCCCTGCTCCAAAACTCTGCTTCCACTGGCCCAGCCCATCTCTTCCAACATCTCTCTCCTGTGGGCACTATGTCTGCAGACCATGCTGGGTCTAGGTGCAGCAGGAAGGACAAAAATGGAAATGCTCCTTGCATGTCAGCTCAGTGCTCAGTGCCCACAGTAATCCCCCAAAGAGGAAAATCCATAGGAATCATGAGAACTGTTTTGGGAAGAGTTTACTTTTTTTAAGGTTAGTGTTAGAATTTGGATACTGGAATCTAGAACAGGATTTTCATCTGAATCAGTTCTCCTCAAGCCTGACAGTGAGAATTATGGCTGTGGCCATGATGCAGCAGTGTCAACAGGTACATAGGGTTGACAGGGGAGAAACTGTGCTCTGCCACAAGGGCAGCAGTAGGGAAGGGAGCCAAAGTAGGAAGATTAGGTCTAGGTTAGGGACATATTCATCATATTCAGGAGTGCTGGATTTTCTCATATCCCTATCTCTGCTCAAATCCTCCTCTTGCTCTAATTAATTTCCAAACCTCTTCTGCAGTTTTTACTTCCTACAGCTTGTAGGACTTTCATACTCTGAGGTGCACTGAAAAGTAGTCACTGGTGGAAAAACAGACATAGGAGATCATCCCTTTTTTTCCCCCCATGATAGTTAAACGCCACAGAATTATCTGACACTTCAAATGAGAGCCTGATCTAAGCAAACAACTGAAATTCTCTGCACTCATATTGTGGCTTTAAGAAAAGCTAGAATAAACAGAAAAAAGGAGAAATAGATTTATCTTCTAGGTTCAGGAGGGGCTTATCACCCTCACCACAACTTCCATAGGAGATGGGGAGCTATTTCTTTATTCACAAATATCATCTCATCACCAGATCCACTCATAAAATAATGGATTAGAGTTTGTTACTCATATCTGTCTATGAAGATTTGAGTATCCCATTTAATATCTTCCTAATTCTAAAACTGCACCATTGTCAAATGGAATAGCAGTAATTCCTGCTGGCTGGGAATCCACAACTGCACCATCAGGATGCTGTGTATTTCTTGGGTCATCAGAAAAAATGGAGCACATCTTGCAGATAACACATCTGTACTCAGAATCAGAAAATGCTCCTTGGCACTGAGTTTGGAGCTATGAGCAGGGGAAAACCAGCTCCATTTGGAAATCTGTGGTACATGAAACAAGTACTTCAAGGCACAGGAGGAGAAATGAGACAGGAGGGTATGAGGAGTACATCACCACAAATCCAATAATGGGGCACCTAGGAAAAAAAATCCATCAGAGAATCACCTAATGGTTTGGGTTGGAAGGGACCTTAGATCAGTTTCAGTTGAGAATGTGAAGTGCACAGACCTATCACATAGAGATTCCAGTCCTAGAAAACCTAGAAAAGTTCATGGAGAAGTGCAAGCAGTTGCTGTTTTTTTTCTACAGATGCCTTTATGGAGTACAGTGATGGAAAACTTGAAGTCACAGGACCAAATGCAACAGCACAGATCTTTGCAACATATCCAGCTCCCTATCTGTCCCTTGTAAATGGATTTGCAGATCAGGTAAGTGCACTTGCTATCTTAATTCTACAAATTAAATGTAAAAAAACCTGTAAGCCAAGCAGTAAAAAAACCACATAGATCTAAAAAGTGTGCCAAAGCTCACCATTTCAGCCAGATATCCCCTTGTACAATAGAATGAGAATGCAATGCTGTTTGCATTGGGTTACATTTTAGTAATATTTTACAAGCAAAATAATTTCAAGTTGTTCTTTCTCATACATCATCTTAATTGTTGCACTCAAAATGTCTTTAAAGCAATATATGTAAGAGGTTTTGCTCAGCATAAATCAATGTTTCTCCATAAATCTCAGCAGTCATGTTCACTTACATCAAAATCCAGCCCATTTTGTGGACCTATTATTCCTTAAATAATGCTTAAGCAGACAGTTTAACATACCCTGAACAACTGATTTTTCTGCTTCCACAAGCCTCCTCTCTAACCTTCTTTTTTGCAGATAGATTTGTAGTATTTATTTTTCAAATTAATGAATCTGAAAAATCCTCAACTTCATTTCTAAGCTTTGTCCTTTAATTCCACTTACGCAACAGCAAAAGATGCAGTTTCATATCTTTTACATATTCCTAATCAACTTACCCACCTTCTTCAGGAATACATGAAATAAATACTGAATGAGTAAGGTATGAAAAACAAGAGATGGCCTGAACACAGAAATTAATTATGTAAAAGATTGTGCAATCTGGCTTCAAAAAAATCTAAACATTGTTTTGAAGTTTTGTAAGAAAGACAGTTCTGATCTTTGGATCAGTCAACAGATTTTTCCCTATGATATTTTTTACCCATGCATGTTTCAAAACAAGCTTAAAAGCAGATGAAAACCAAATAATTTTTAAATCCCTCAAACTTAAGCTTCTTCAAATCAGTATAGAAATTGAATGTTTTGACATCGCTAGAGCTTTTGTCTGTTTTCCTATCAAGTTAATTATTAGCAAAATCAACATTGACAAAGCATTTTATTTAAGCAGAGCTGTACTTGCATTGAAGTAATTCCAAGAAAATTTCCTTCATCAGCTCAATTAGCATATGTAGTACAGAGTTCATGGTCCAGTTATGCATGCAACCCTAATTTTAGCTGCTCAGTTTTGACTTGACAGATTTCACTTTTTCTTCTGATGTTTTACAACACCTGGATAAAGAGATGCTTATCTAGTCTAAATTTTCAGCATAAACTACAGTCACATAAAACACTTCTATATCAATGGAACTGTTTGCATTGCTATAGCAGCAGAACTACCAAAAATTGAGTCAATAAAAGTGTAAAACTGAGAGGAAAAAAAAGTGGAAACAAACATTAGACCTCACAGAGGAAATGCCTTTTAAATCCTCTTGTTGTTGCAGACTTTTTTTCCAAATTTCCTCAGCACATTTCTTGTCTTTGTCTTTCAGCTCAGATATCAAAACTTCTCATTACTGTGAAGTAGAAAAGCGCTGAGTTCCAAATTTTGCTATTGTACATAGTGGGATAAAACTAAATACCAGCTCTAAGCCACTCCAATCCACAAAGCTGCCATAGCCCTTCTTTTCATTATTGGAAAGAATCTACATGTATTTATTCAATATTCTTTTCTTTGCCTTGGTCAGGTGATGTCAACAGCTGTTCTTCTTCTGGCTGTATTTGCTATTTTTGACACCAAAAATAAGAGTGTTCCCAAGGGCCTGGAGCCAATTGCAGTAGGACTTATTATAATTGTTCTTACTTGCTCCTTGGGAATGAACAGTGGCTGTGCCATGAACCCAGCCAGGGATCTTGGCCCAAGGCTCTTCACAGCCGTTGCAGGATGGGGGATGGAAGTATTCACGTAAGTATGCCTGGAGATGAAGTCAGATGCTCCTGGCTAAAAATGTTTCTAGGAAAGTAAGATCCTGATTCAACATGGTACCAAGTCATACTTTATATACATACAGGTAATTCTTTGCATACCAGAAGCAGCTATTCATGCACTTTAAGCCAGATATCCTCTAGGAACTGGGCTTTAAAAAGGATTTCCTGCTCCTAGGGCAAATCAAACATGCATAATCTCTAATATCAATCATTGTTTCAAGAAGACCTTTCTCAAAATATTAGAGTTTCTAAGAGGTCACTGAAAATATGAGTGCTTTCTTCTTGTGTCTTGCAGCTTTCGGGGGGGAAAAAAATCAGGAGACAATTAAGTGGAAATATTTATTGGGTGCTGTAAAAAACAGAGACATATCAGATTGATTTAGTCTATGATTACTTCTAAGTTACTGTAGAGATATACAGCAATCTAAAAGCCTGACTTCCTGGCTGGGAGTGAAAGAGTGAATGGAAAAGCTCCCTTCATTTTCCCACATTTCAGAGCCCTCTCCAATCCCCATGTGCACACACACACGCTCTTGGCTGGCCCAATGCACAGCTAATTAGCTGCACATCAAATCCACATCTTACACGTAGCCAGGGTAAGAGGCACTCTGGGGTATCTAAGCAAGAGTAATCTGTCACCAGGAAGCAGATCCTTTGGTTTATTTCTGTATTGTTTGTTTTCCCAGTTATTTACAAGTAGGAATCCCCAGTAGTACTGTAGGCCACTGGAGAGCTCTGGTTAGCAGAGATTTTATTTTAGTAAGAAATAAAAGAAGCACAAATAACCTCTATTTATTCAGTATGATTTCTATTTACACAAATCATGTACCTTATTTGAGGAAAGCTGTAGCACAGCTTTTCTCATACAAAAAAAAAGCCAGGCATGGCATAGCTGAAACAGGCACACAGCACAGAGCCAAGGCTGGATGTAGCCCAGCTCTGGTGAGAGATCAGCTCACTGGTCTGGCTACAGCCAAACTTTTCCTAGAATAGATCAGATAAATAATGGCAAGACTTTCTACACTGTTCCCAAGCAAATACTCTAAACATTGAGATAATTACCTCACAACAGAGAAAACCCCTCTTCCCTTTGAAGGAATACATGCTTGAAGGTATAGTAAATGCTGGTTTTATGATGCTCTCAGGCGGGCAACTGGACTGGAGGGAAGCCCTTCTGCTGGACCATGGAATTGTCCAGATGACAGGACTGCACTTGAGCTGGGATTTTCTAAATCCTTCTTTTAGTACATTTTGCACAAAGACACCTAAAGGAGCATTTCCCCCAAAGCCAAGCCCGAAGACACAAGCTGTGGTGTGGTTTCCCTAGCCCATGCAAATAGCTTGTTTTGGTTAAAGGCTCCCCTCAGAAAACCAGGAGTTTCCCTAAGCATACACTTAATATGCTAGTAAACTTAAGAAAAGTTTGGGGAGCAAAGTATTGTCTGTAGTGAGAAAACAGCCAGAGCGTTGATTCCAAACACCAGACTGGATTTTGACAAGCAAAACCGAGCCTGAAACCGCAATAAGAGAGAGAGGTGGGGCTCTCCAGAGCAGTATTTGGTGGCAGCATTCGAAGGCAGCCCGGGCTAGCCCAGCGCGGTTCGGCGCGGTAACGCTGACACCTCGTGGCCGCCGGCACCGGGGACACGGCGGCAGCGCCGAACTGAACTGCACCGCGGGAAGGGCCAGGAGGCCAGCCTCCTGTCTGCACAGATATTTGGGTGCCAAAGCGGCTCTGAAGCATTTAGCATTCTTCCCGGGGTGCAGCCCTCCAGCCTGGATTACCTCACGAATTCCCTTTCCTGGGGTGCAGCCCTGCAGCCCGCATTACCTCACGAACAGCGATATCTCCCTTTCCCGCAGCAGCTGGCTAGTGAAAGGTGTATCTGCAAATTTGGGCCCAAGTTCCCAGTCCCCGTAGCTTAGACACTGTCCTTTCCCGGGAATTCCCGCAGCCAAGCTCAGCTCTGCCGGCCAGGCCCCTCCTGCCTCCTCCCCACACACGCAGCACCCGCCGCTGGCAGAGGCGGCGCTGGGTGCCCTCCTAAAGAAAAGCTGTGTGGGCATAGCCAGAGGCTGAGGGCACTGAGGGGCCTTTGGCCATCTGTGCTTGTCACAGCGAGTTCTTGCTCCTGTGCCAATGGCAGAGCACTGAGTGCCACAGAAACCCCTGCTCGGCTGGGTCCGGACTGACCTCACTGCAGCTCTGGCAGCAGCCTCTCTCTTCAAAGGCTTCACAGCCAGCATCAGCACAGGCTGTCCCGCACACAGCTGACTGCAGCTGCTGCAGACACAGACCGTGATCTGCAGAAGGTCACCCAGGAGCTGACAAGGCCAGCTCATGGCACAGGCTGAGAGAACCCTGCCAAGAAACACCTTCACTACACACCCCCGTATAAACACATCACGCAGAAGAATACATGCAAGTACTTGATAAAGCTTTTGTTCTGCTGATTAATTCAATAAAACATTAGTCCATGCTTGTTCCAGAAATTCAAGTGCTCAACAACCATCCATGATTCAAAAACAGATTTATAAACTCAGTAAAACAACATCAGAAGTTACTTTATATCCTCAGGGCAAAACAGAAATAATTCCAAAGGTATAACACACACATGCAAGGCATTTCTGAACAAGCAGTAATAGTATAATCAACAGGGCAACAATATTCTCCCAGTTCTATTCTTGCATTGTGACAAATACAAGTTCCCTTCTGCATAAAGCTCCACAACTGAGTGCTGAATAATTATCGTGACAGTTTAAAAGTTCCCCTGCAGCTTCCTGTAAAGTTTCTCTTGCAGATTAATTTGTCCCTTTGTATTTCTGGGAGAAAAAAAAATTCTCCATTTTCAATACGCATGAAATTGAGGTAGCTGGATTTTCATTGGAGACTCACATATTCAATTAATACAGCATGTTATCAAATCAAAACACCTTAATGCATCAGTACAGTTAAAAGACACTGTGCTCTGACATAGATACTCAGTTATTTACTGTCTGAAAGTGGACCTCTAGGAAAAGGAGAGCAATTCTGCCAGCCCAATATTCCTGCATTAAAAGTTTGTTATTTATTGTTTTATACAGTTCAGTGATGGAAGTCTTACTTTAAATATGCCTGTAAAAATACACATATAAAATGAAATCTTAGTAATTGTGCAAATGTAAACATTTCAGTGGAATCAGCATGCTGGACTTTCTTAGTGAAAACAAAAGTTCTAAGGTAAAGTTTTAGGTGTATAAAACTTCTAAGCATTTATTTGCCTCTTGCAAGGACACCAGATTTTAAATATAGAGATCAGATACTACATCATGAAATACAAATCTTGACCACTCCAGTCAAGGATAACCAGCTTTAAAGTCACTCTATTTTATTACATTGCTTAAGGTAAATTTACTCAAAATTCAGTTTAATTTATTACATTTGGCAAGAGGAAGATGGTATAATACTATTGCAGGTGTGAACTTGGCTTATTTCATGTAGATGAAATAAGCCACTTTTCTAACATCCTGAGAACCTATTCACAAGCATCTGGGGACAGCACAAGTGAAGACTGCTGGACAATAAATATGTGCCCTTTCATTTCCCTGCAAGTCAGTGAAACGTGCTTTTTCACAAGGCAGAAATCAACCTCTGGCCCCAAATAGATATGCAGTAAAAAGGCCTTATTTTGTAAAATACAGCAAGTACAACACACAGACCAACCTGTCTGGTGCTTGTTATTTAGCATTTCAATCAGAACCAGCCTGGGTAGGGTGGGTGTCACCCAGTTACAGAAATGTGAGACAAAATAGAAATTTCTACAGTATAGTAAGTGGCACACCACCGGATGTCTTCAGTGACTAATTCACAGAAAGGTGTTCACCAGAGTAACCAATAACACTAATTCTTGTTCTTTTTGTCTTACAGGGCTGGTAATAATTGGTGGTGGGTTCCTGTAGTTGCACCTCTGCTGGGAGGTGTACTTGGAGCAATGACCTATGTCATTTTTATTGAAATTCATCACTCAGATCCTCAGCCAGGAGAAGAAAATGATGTGCACACTAAATATGAATTGACCAATATGGCATAAGAAGAGAAGAATTTTCTGTCATTGTGTTGTGTAGTTTTTATGCAAATGGTTGTTTGGACCACTGTATGAAATCCATTTGTCTCAATTAGAAATTCACCTTTCAAAACAGACATTCTGTACAGAAGTTCACAACTGAAGTCTTTCCATGAAACATTGGGCTGATCATATTCAAAACTGGTATCTTGAGTATGGGAAGGCTAAATTGTCCTTTCCATATGGCTTTTAGGTCAAGTTATCCTAGATACAATTGTGGTGAGATGATGCACTGGTCTGTTACTTCAACTCATATGATGTTAATCATGCTGTCTAATGAACTGAAAATAGTTGAAATTGATAAAAAACTGCATGCATAGCTAGTTAATGAGTTCAGTGCTGAATTAATGTGCAAGAGCATCACTCACTTCTTAAGAGAGTGGCTTGTCTAAACATTTAAAACAATTCTCAAATTGGCTAAATGCCAATTGAAACAGTTTAAAATAACTTTACTAAAGTTTATGGAGCCACTACTGATCAGCTAGAAATCAACTCCTCAGTGATTAGGTTTAGTAATTCACAATATGATCACAAAAGATAAAAACTGCTTGTTGTAAGATCAGCACCAAAGAGACAAAGGGTGGCTTCTGCACAGGGTCTTCATAGCATTAATGCTTAGTTATTTTTAGATTATTTACTTGGCCTTTATGCTACCCAATATTAAAAGCCTTATGTAGAATACTAATCTGCATCTCTTCCGCTGTGCTTTCTGGATACAATTCATTCCTGTGGAGATGGCCCAGCAAGGGGCTGATGCTGTGCAGAGGTCAGCACAACGCCTAGCTCTGTATAAGCTTTAGTGTCCTGCTGCTGCTGGTTTATATAGGTGGATTTTATCCGCATTGTGGGACCAATTTTTAATGTGGGAGCAGTAATTAAAATTAGAACCTGGTCTCAGAGCTAGTCCTAAATCTGAATTCCCCAAGGAAGGTCAGATCCACATCAGAACTCTGATGTGTGGTTATCTCTCACTAAAGAGAAACTGTTGCACATATACCCCTTCCTAAATATTCAGCCTTGAAAATGAAATTATTTCTGCCTAATCACTGTGAATTGAATGTATTCAGTTAAAGCAAAGTTTATTTCTATTATGTATAACATCTGTCCATGCTTGGTGGTGGTGATCATGAATAAACAGACATTTGATTCAGCAATGCTCCTGAGCTACTTTCATGGCTAAACTTCAGAGCACCATTCAATTCACTTATTTCAGAGTGCTCTTCCCTTTGGATTCCTAGAACTCTGTTCTCTCAAATTCCACACTGCATTCCTGATTTCACCTCTGAAGTGAGGAGCCCTCTGTGCTGCCACTAACAGCCTGTGCACTTCCGTGCAGTATGTGCAGAAGATGTTACAAAATACCATGGTCAGAACCTGCCTCAGCATTTGGAGCAATCAGGCCTTTGTCACTGCTTGTCTTGATCCCACTCCCTGGGATGCCATGCCAAATTCATGGCAGCAAAAGGAACAAAAATAGCACACGAAGGAAAGCTCTGCTTGCTGCAGCTCCAAGTCAGATCTTGCAGCATACTTGGGGGACTATAATTCAAATTTTAATCATGTTTTTAAGAAAACTTACATAACTGTAATGAACTCAGGCTGCCCAGAGACATATCAGCCCTTTGCAAAATGCTCATTTAATTCAGTCTCTCTGTTGTGGGTTAAATTCTGCCATATCCATGCAGATTTGATCCATGCATCCTTGTATCACTGGCTAGAGAGTCTTAGGAACAAGAAGGGAGAGCTTACAGAAACAGTTCTCAGTCTGAGCAGAGAAGAATCTAAAATACAATGCGAAAATTAGTCCTAATTTTAAACCTTTTCTTGGCAGCAGAGACAAGCTAGATCCTCTGTCCTGTGTATTCATAAACTGCACCACATAAAGCAGGATGGGGTGCAAATGCAGTTGCAGACTGATCCTTTGGTTTACCCCTCCCCTGCAGTGAGTGCTCTCTCTCCCCCCTTGGCCACCCCGGGCAGGAGCACTCCCAGGTGGCTCCTGTGTCTACAGAGGGATTACAGAGGTAGAGCCAGTCTGAGGGCTGCCCTCAGCTCTGAAAAGCACTTACTCTTCCACTGACACCAACATCTAATATGAAATATCTGTGCAGAAAATAACAACAAACAGCCAATTAACCAGAAGTAACCAATTTCATCCAAAATGGTAGGGGCAGGTTATCACTTGTGTGAGGATTTTGCATAGTCAGTAGGCTCCATATGCATCACTATATTGCCTCTTCAATCCACCATGGAAAACATGGGGAAAGGAGAATACAGGTCAGGAATGAGAAAAGGACAGTTTATTTATCCAGCCTGCTCAGGGACTAGCCCACACTCGCTGTAGGCTTGCGCATTGGCCAAGGTACATAAAGTTGTTCATTTTCTCAAAATCCTTTTGATCATAACATGTTCTGTCTAGAAAACATAAAACCTTGTTTCTCCTACTCATGCCATTCCTATGCACAGAATTTCTGTCTGAGTGACATTTACTTGTCTGAAATTATTAACATGCAAATCTTAAGTAGTGGCACAGTGTACTAGCATAACAATGTCTTAAATATGCTCTCAAATTATTGTCAATTCTGTGCTTGCTTAAAGAATTTAATTTTTAATTAATCATTCAATATTTTTTAAATTCTTTGGGGACACATGGTATTAATACCACAATTCATCCTGGATTCACAAAAACCAGAATTTCATTCAGTAACAAGATATTATAGACCTGTCTGTGATTGAAAATTTACATTTCAAGGAATTAATTCCTGCTTTTGGGACAAACCTCAGCTAATTCTTTACTACAAAAACATAATAATGTAATGGGAACAATAAAATCACCTCATTCCATAAACTTATACAGGCATTAGCTGTTTTATAAAAAACAAAACAGTATTTTGACTTTGCATGAACTATGCAATTTCCTAATAACAACTGATATTCAGTGGTCACACATTAAACTAATAATAATAACAGTTAGCAACACTTTTTTCTAGCTGAAAGAGATTTTGATTAATGAATTAATAGTAATCAGTCTTGATTTTAATGTTGAAAAAAATTAATTTCAGGGTATTGTTCAACCTTCATTTCGGGTTTGTTTTTTTGGGCAGCAACGTGTTTGCTCTTTAGAGCTAAACTGAGTACTGGAGTAATTTGGAAAGCTGCAAATAGTACTGAGTTAAAAGTTGGCTACTGCATGTTGTTTTATTGAAGTCAGTGAAATTATTCACAATGGGTGGCAATACAGGCAAGGATAAGTGATCAGAGAACTGAGCTCAGAGTATAGCAGAAACTGTGTTTTCTTGGAGTTTTGTCTGTGGATCTGGATGTTCCAATATTGTGGTTCAAAATAAATACAGTCAATTCCTAATAAATGCATTCCAGTGCTATTTTTATATACATAACAGAAACCTCCTCTCTGGCACCTAAGGACTTAAGAAATAAATAGCTGCCTGTTATGACCTACAATGTTTTACAGCCCTGTGCTGGAAGAACAGATGGACTAACAAGCTGCATTCCCAGAGCACAGCCCCTGTGGCACGTTCTGCAGCTCAGCACAGGGCCAGAGCAGAGCAGAGGGCAGTGCCAGGCCAGGAGCACCCACACCTCAGGGCCTCTTCTCCCCTTCCTGCCACAGCTTTCCACTGCTCTAACAGCAGCCAGAGCCCAGGTGGGATATTTTGCTGAAGTTCCTCTTGGGCATACATGGATCACATCAGATTTGGCCTGCAGGGCTCACAAAATGCTCCTGGCTAATTTATCCATCTTCTCCTCTACAGATTTGTAACAGGGCCATGCTTTTCTTGTTTCATTAAAAAAGCACAGGCAAACCTGTGCTGTGGGAGCAAGGGAAAGGAGAGGTGCTTCAAATTTACTCTGAGAATCACAAAAGAAAACAAAAACCCCCAAACAAACACACAACCCTCCAACAAAAGTATATGAAGTGGCAGCAGCATTTTATCCTCTATCCATCCTGATGAGCCTTACCCTCCTATCATATCAGTCTCTGTGACTTTCTGTTGTCCTTCCCTTCTTTTGCCAACACTGTGTGCTGTGCTGTGTCTCCATACAGCACATACATCTCCAGAGACTTAAACACAGCCTGCTTTCCTCAGTTACTTATGAATTTTAGAAAGTTCTCATGAGAGCACATTCAAGTTTCACCTCACATGCTTGTTTTTTTGGCAGTTGCTTGCATTTTTCCCCCACTGTTCCCACCAAACAACCTTGTGCTGGAAAATACAACAATTAACTGTAACTTCCAGTAACAGCTGCTCTTTTCTGCTAAGTACAATTCTCTGCATCACAGAATGCTTCTTTAAAACATGCACAATTTTTAAAAAACTTCTTTTTCAAACCACTATTAAAAATAAAGTCAGATCATCCAGGAAAGAAAATGCAGCACCCATCAGTTAGTACTTGGGATTTTTGTCTTCTATTTTGCACTTATAACTTGTTAAACAAATATATTTAATTATACTTCTGTGAGTGTTAGTGCCTTTGCTTGTTTGCACAGCCTAATAGCACAGTCTCAGAGGACAAAGTAGTAGGTAAATATTTTTACCATGGAGTTTCTTTGTTTATTTGAATCAAATATTAGATAAATCAATATAGTACTAAGCTGGACATGACACATTTATATAATTTTTCTCTCTTTGCTGACCACAGCTTCCTTCCAAAGGTGTCTCTAAGATAGGGAATATGAATAACCAGCAGCTTATATCAGCAATGATTTCTGATCACCTATCAGACATACATCTTGGGTATAAATTCTGACATTCTCAGAACCATTAAGAGGACCAGTTTAAGCACATTAATACTATTATTTCCTCAGCATTAGGCACATAATAGTCTAATAGGTGAAGAATACTTTCCACACCCTCAGAAATAACAGTAGTTTGTTTCATAGCACAACTCTTCTCAGGAAACCTTGCCTGCCTCCCCATTATAAACAGGGCTGTGAATGAAAAAGCAGCAAAGTAAACAATATGTTAAGACTTGAAAAGTCAGCATCTGAATAGAAGGAAATGAACAATCTCAGCCAGAACTGAACAGATGCAACACTTTCTGTAGCATGACTGAGGCATCAGATAACAAACATGAAGCCCAAGCAGCAGCACATGCTTGGCAGCAAGCACTGCTAAATTAAAGAGGCAGGTGTTTTGTTAATGCCTCTTAAATAAACTTACAAAATTAATTTCAGAATAAAGGGACTCAATTATGGTGGTGGTGTTTTCCATAGCAGAGGAACAAAATTTGATTATTTGAACATCTTTAAATTATTGAAACCAGGGGGGAAAATCAAGAGTGGGGCACAGAAGGGGAAGAACGGAAATCTCAGTGGAAAAAAGGGAAAGCACACTAGTAACTCATTCAATTTCTAGTTATAAAGTCAAAAACTTTCATCTTCACTTCCATCTCAGATGTTCAAGATATTAGCAAACGATGGCTGCACTCTGCAGGAGACTCCTGCTACACAACCACTCTGCCACCACGGCAGGAAGCCTGTCTGGCTTCAGTGCAGAGAGAATTTCATCCCATACATACCCATACACATGTATTCCCCTGGGGGGGTCATGTTTTTCAGGGTACAGAATCAACATTTTTGATTCTGAAGATGCCTGTACTGTAGAACAGTTATCCGAAACACAAATAAAAAGAGTTGAATCCAGCTGCCAGATTTCCATGGAATCTCAGGGGATAAAGCAAGTGCAGAGGCTCCTCCAGCAATTCTTGGAGGAGGAAAGCAGAAGAGAAAAACTTTGATTCAGAACCACATTGTCTTCACAGCTATGAATGCTTCAATGTCACAGGCCATTTGCAAATGTAACATATATGCAAATACCCTTAGCACCTCAGAGGCTTCTAATCCAAGAAAATACATGATGGCTGAACAAAATATGGATATGAACACACACACATTTCAATCTGTTCTGACACAAAAAGACAAAATCCTTCCTTAAAATGGAAGCCATTTTAAGCCCCATTTGCTATCACAGGTGGTTCTCTGAAACTCAACACAGGAAATCAATCATACATTTTAAAATATTTACCACACCTGAAAGCGGACCTATAGCCTTTTCTTCTTCCAAGTTTTTCACCTGCTTTTCTGATACAACTGGCAGCAAGCCTCTAGTTCTCTCTTGGGCTCCTTCTTGCCTAAATATTTCACATCCACTCAGCATCAGACCCCACACAAAAAATTCTATTTTCACATGAAGAAAACAAAAGCAATTTTGAGGCAGATTTCAACATGCACATGGTCCATGCAATTTTAAAATATATACTTCTGTTAAACTGGACTTTCAACAATTTACATGGTAATTATTCTCCTTTCCCTTGCCTTTGATTAGATGTGTTGCTTACAACAACCTGGCAGAACAATAATTATCTCACATGGGCAGATCTGCAGTACACAGGATTTGGATTTCCTGCTAGGGAAATCCTAGAACAAGAGACATAGTTCAGGTATTGGTGGATTTTATTTGTGGTAAAGATTGACCCTGAGAAACACTGTATTACAGGATATGATGCATAAAATCACAATCAGCTTGCCTTCTAGATTTGGGACAGAAAGTGTTTAGGCTGAACAGAGTTCTTTGTACATCTGGCTTCAGGTAACTTCATTAGCAATTAGAAAGCCAGAGGCAAACATATTCCTAAAAGATATAAAGTGAACTTCCCAGTACAGCAATCCAGGGAGAACAAGAAGTGTCAGAAGCTCTCTTCACATGTAGAAATTTAACTGCATGCCCAAATAGCAGTTGTGTACAGCTTCAAAAAGGGTGAAAAGTTGTAAAAGAACTATGCCCTGAGCCTCTCTGATGGCGTTTTAATGTTACCATGACTGAGATAACCATTCCAAAAATAACTAGCTTGTTTTACTCTCAAGCTTATTTTTCTTAATAGATTTGTAATCTATCAGTCTCTGGCTATGAACTTTGCTACTGTCATAATTTTCACTCAGGCCCCTGAAGGCGTTCTCCTCTGTTCCAACTCTTCAATATTTATTTTTAAATAAACACAAAGGAGGCCCTTTCCTGTGTG